AACCAAGACGCAAAGGTGTGGAGGAATCTTTCGCTTTGAATATTTAAGTGGCGCTGCGGCAGCAGCAGCAGAAGTAGCAGGATGGGTAAAGCAAACCGCAGCTAACACAATTTTCCGTACCGTAACCCACGTTGCAAGAAATGTGCGGAAATTTGATTTAATGTCTGCGATTTTGAGCCTTTCCACGGTTTCAAAATGATTGGGCCGCGCCGAGCCCTTGTTCTTGCGGAAATGGGCCGGTCCTGGCAGATTTTTGAGTGGCGGCGACCCTGGGGAGATGCTTTTCAAACGGCAGGAAGATCAATGCACATTTTCTTAAAGGCAGAATTGAATTATACAAACGTGATATTTCTTTGGGCCATGCTTAAACGACACAGCGCCAGCCTGTACAATGTAATTGCATTAGTGACACAGACAAACAAATGCTTTCAGATAGACCTTTATGGTTAGGTGCAGGATCACAATTTTTTTTCAAGCCTTCAGCAGACTCTCAGCTCACTCGACTCACCAGGCGAAATCTGAATCCCAAAACCCAACACACAGGCAACCACTCCACGCTTAATACATACGAAACACGCACTTTTGTTTGTTTTCCTGTGTAGTTGTCACATTTTTTTTCGGATATCTTGAATTTTTTTGTACTAATATTTATATTAGCAGCAAAATTAGTTTTACACATCGCAAAGAAATAAAACACCTCATGTCCTGAAACGAACTGACGCAAACAAATCAAGGCACTCTGAGAACCTGTAGCGAAGTGTGGAACAGTGCAATTTTGTGACATTTATATAAATATGTAAACATATTTATATGTAAAGTACTGTTGTGGGTCTAATGAGGAATGAATCCGGCCCGTGGCCTTACTAGAATATACAATTTGTGTATATGTTTTATGTATTGTAATTCTAAATGGGATACAGGCTAAGCCCTGTTTAAACGGGGTAGCAGTAGATTGGCAGAATTTACTCAAAAATAAACCCCTTGCTGCATTGAAATTTAAATAATTAGCCAGAACAATTTCGCAATTGCAAAATAGTCGGAAATAGCCTTTGTTGATGGAAAAAATCAAGAGTTTTTTGGTTTAATCCACAGCATAGTAATTAGAGAATCTATATAAATGATTTATTGAAATACGAATATACTACATGTATGTACATAGTAACATGCACATTTCTTTTGAAATGTGAGCTACGCATAGCTTGGCGAAATAAATAATAATTATTACAATTTATACACAGCCCGTGCCTTGGCCTGGGCTGGCGCCTGGGCCTGGGCCAAGTGCAAGTTTCACAATTTACAAATTGCTTTTAAATGGGCTGTAAAAAAGTTTTAATGAGTTTTCCCACCCCCCACCAGCCGTCCGACTTCTAAGCACCACATCCCTCGTGCACCCATTCCCCCCCATCCTCCTCCTCCGGTCGGCTATTGCTGTTTATGCATTTTCATTATCATTTTCTTTCATTTTTTTTGTAAGTATTTTGTTGTTCGCGTGTGCTGCCCTGCCCTCCCGTTTTCCGTTTTCCATTTCCATTTGTTATTTAGCAAGTATTTTTCGTTATTTTTCATTTCAGTAAAGTTTGTCCTGCCAGTGGCACAGGGCGATGGGCGTGACACTTGCTGTGCCATTGAATGGAAAGCGCTTGGACTCGGACCGAAGGACGCTTAATGAAATTATATCAATCGGGGGGGATCAGCCAGGACAGCCACCCCCAAAGAGCCAGGTCCTTCCAACGTCCAGGCCACGTCGCTCTGGCATCTGGCAAATGACATTTGCTTTCTCCAATTGTTCATATTTTCATTAAGCGCAATTTGAATTTCCCCAAATGTGTAGCCCGCAATCATTTTCTCTGGCAGTACAAGCTTCAACTTCGGAATCGGATAGAGCCCCAGCTCCAGATCCTGTTCCTGTTCCAATTCCAGTCACTGCCGCAGCCACAGCTTCAGTCCTTCCTGTTCCTATCCCCAACACTGGTTGTAGTATGTTGCCATTTCTAATTTCGTTCTGGTTCTGGTCAAGTACAAGGTCCGTGGGCAGGTCTCACGTCAAATTAAATCAAGCTGTAATATAAAGAAAATTGAAGCCAAGTCCCCTTTGTGCCATAAAGCACGGCGATGAAGAAGAACAAACCCTCGGCGCAGCAGGGGAACGCTCAACGTCAAGACGCGATGAGGCAGGAGGGTGGAGTCATGGGGGTGCAGCAACTGATTGGCAATATAACACCAAGGAAGCTCTGGCTTCAGTCCACAGAGGCCCTTAACCCGTATGGAATGGCTAGGAAACAGAACGAGATTAAAACACATTTCAAACACATAACGACGGCTGAGTTCTATTCTGTTCCTATATGAAATATGAAGTGAGAAATCCGCTGAGAATTATAATTTAAATCACGATTTAGAAGCCGATATGGAACCTCTTTTAAACTGAATGAATTTTGATAGGTATCCAACTAGTACTGCTCCGAATCAGAGCATTTTCCAATTCGGACATACATACATATGTGCCGGAGTCTGTGCGGCTCTGAGTGCAAAAACATTTCGGTGGGTCCTGTAATTGCCTGTAAATAATTTCCACTTACCAAATGGCATTTTCCAACTGCACTGGCCTCATAAATACCACCGCGAACTAGCCAAACCGAACCGAACCGAACTGAACCAATTTATGGTCCACACTTAATCTAAGCTGTCAATGTGGATGCAACAGAGCAACCGGAACAGGCCAAAAACCCTCTGAGTGGAGGGGGGAAACACTACTCGCATCGCATCGTAATTGCCGAGGGCATTACGACAAAAACGTAAAAGTGTTACGTTTCGAATTGACCAAAGTGAAGAAGTCGTAAAGTTTTAGTTGCATTCTGCCCTGGGGCTGTGCCTGTGCCTGTGCGGGTGCCGTCTTCGTCTTCGTTTTCGTCTTCGCCCTGGCATCGGACTCTTAATTTATGTTTCAGTTCCAATTAGCCAAACGAGGCGCGGGCTTTAATGCTCCTTTCAGCCAGTGGTAATTGACTTTCGGCCTGGCCCTGACGCGTCATTTGTAATTGTATATCAGCGGCAGAAGCAGCAGCAGAAGTAGCAGCAGCAGAGGAAGGAGGGGGCGGGGAGTGCATGCCAGGCCAGCAGCGTTTATTAGCCATGGCAAAATGCAGCTAATTGAAGTTCAAATTGCGCTGCTTCCAAGAGTTGCAAGGTAAAAGGAAACCGTTCAAATGTAGGTACTCCCAATCGGCCTCCCACTCGCACTCACGTGTGATTCCTGTCAGTTCAATAAACATTAAGGCAGACGACAATGCAGACCTAGACGTAAACGAAGACGAATCCACTTAAGGCCACGTAAGCATCAAAAAAGAAAAATTCGAAAATAGCCGCCGAGAAATCTCTAGTTGACTCTATCTATCGACTATAAAATACTTCCTACTCGCGGAACAAAAAAAGAAAGACTAACGCGTTTCATTCAATGCTGGATCGGCTAGCTATATTCAATAGAATTTTTGGAAATTATTTGGCTAATTTTTAGATATCCTGCACCCGACGAAAACAAATAATAGGACTATAACTGCTATATCTTCCGGGTAAGATAACTTGTTTCTTTTGTCTGTTACAGCATTTGTCCCGTATGTGTGCGGGGTATCACAAGAAAGCCGAATAAAGCGAAAGCCAATTCAAACACTTCCCACACAAAAGCAAAGGAAATAAAATCAAGCATAAATGCAATAATACAATTTATGTGCCAAATTTCATAAGGACCATAATGGACACAGCATACACTCCCCAGCACACAGCAATAATATACCATATCGAAAGGAGCCAACAAAGGTGACTCTGAAGTCGGACTCGGAGTCGGAATCGATGTAATCGTAATCGCATTTGATGCCGAGATGTTGATGCTATTTGTGTGTCATTTTCATTGCGAAAAACTTTTCCGTCTTTTCCGGCTAGCGGCAACGGTCAGGGCAACAATGTCCCCCAAACAAGCGCGCTTCCATCCATCGTTCACCCTCTCTGACACCCCCACTTCCAATCCCTGTGCCTTTTGTTGCTTTTTGGCCAAGTTAACAACATTTTCTTGACGTTTGCCAATTGCATTATGACTCAATTGGGGGCTGAACGAACGATTTTATGGACAGGAGACGGCAATACTGTGGCAACATCAACGCCAGAGCTGGACGCTTCAGAAGAAGATGGCTACGGAAGGAATAGCAAAAGTTGATCTAGGATCCGATGGTGTTCCGCATCTGTGAAAGAACTTTCATGACCGACTTCTTAGAGGAGCAGCAGCAGTGAAAGCCCCACAGATTTTACTTAATTCTGCTACATTGTTGTTCTGTTTGTTACACACACGTACGTACTCGTTCATATAGCCGTATGTTTATCCGGTATCCGTTGGTCCGATTGAAAGGCTTGAAGAGCACACGAAACGGAAAATGCATTAACAATTTGGCTGCGTCGTTAATGCATCTCCAACGGGCCATAAATTGTGCTGGCCGTTGTATGTTTGGGCAATGCCGTGCACTTGATGGCCCTTCAGCGGTGAGCTGCCGCCTCCCAACATCATCTCCAGCTCCATCGCCATAGCCATCGCCATCGCCATCGCCGTGGCCAGCCGTGGAATGTGGAGCAAGTGCGCCGACCTTAGGACAACAGGCCAGGCCCGAGCATTATGCAATGCCTAGGCAAAGACGTGAATTTCGGTAATTGGGTCGACGACACGCCCTTCTCCAGCACATGCCACACTTGCTCCGAGCCTCGATGGCTGTGGCTGCGGCTGTGGCTGCGGCTTCGGCTGTCAATGCTGAATTGATTTGCCACGATCAAGAGATCGAGAAATGGATTTCTGAAAGTCACGCAAAGCCCAATTGCAAACGGGTTTAGGCCGTGCGGCAGTGCGGGCGGGAACATTATGAGTAATTGCCATTGCTGTGGGCCATATGCTGCCTGCCTCCTATATATGCCCCAGCGGCGGACCCAAATGGCAACAGTTGCTACAGATATCCCACAGCTTCAACATGGCCCATCAGTTCCTCAGCTTTGCCGCCTCCCTGCTGCTTATCCTGGCCCCCGCCTGGGCCGGCATCATTGCCCAGCCGACCATCGGCTACTACGGCGACGAGCACGCCGTTGCCCACACCCAGCAGAACGTGGTGCGTAGCTTCGACGGCACCGTCTCGCACTACGCCAAGTCCGTGGCCACACCGTACTCCCAGGTGCACAAGCAGGACACTCGCATCAGCAACAATGTCTACCAGCCGGCGATTGCCAAGACTGTGACCTACGCCGCCCCAGCCCAAGCTGCTGTCTACAACCATCACGCCCATCCGGAGCCTCAGCTCTTCACCCAGGCAGCTCCTCAGGCCGCCGTCTACCATCAGGCAGCTCCTGTGGCCAATGTCTACCACCAGGAAGCTCCTCAGGCCGCCGTCTACCATCAGGCAGCTCCTCAGGCCTCTGTCTACCATCAGGCAGCTCCTCAGGCTTCAGTCTATCACCAAGCTCAGCCCGCCGTCATCCACTACTCACCGGCAGAGTCCGTTTCCCACATGAGCTTCGATGGCTTCGGCACCCATTGGGGATTCTAAGGGACTCATCTCTCTTCTCTAAGTTGTTAAATTAATTTTAATAATTACATAAATCGTGCGTTGAAAGAATTTCTTTGAAGATTTTTCTCAGTAAGAGTACCTTTGATGAGGGATGGATTTGCAGGAATGAAACTGCAATCGATAGCTTTTGGAACACAATATACGTAGCTCCTTTGAAAATATCTCATAAGTGTTCTCGAACTTCGAGCTTTCAAATGCCCGCTCCACATTCTATCCGAAAAGATAGATTTCAAATTTTGATTGCAATTAATTGAAATGGGTATCTCGACAACAGTCCCATAGCTTCAATGTAAACTTGAGGTATGGGGTAATTCATCTTTCACAAGTGCTTTCAAAAGAGCTATAGTAGAGTACAGAGAAATGCATCTTGCACTCGTAGATCGCAATGCTGATATGTTTTTGTCTTCATACCCTACTGTGACGTGGTTCAGCGACATATCTCAGATGTAAATGTAGGAATCTTTTCACATTTCCGTCCGCATCCCGGTGGACCTGGCTCACGAGTCCTTCGCTTGGCTAGGAGTTGGTCTCCGGATGCTCTTGCCTGCGGCCCGCTCCGTGCTTATCGCCCACGTTCGGAGGCTGCGTAAACAAATCATAAAAATCCACACAAAGTGCACTACAAATAGCCCCAAGTAGGACATTAGCTTGGGTCCTTGTTCGGTCCGTGCCTGGTTGCGGGCCAGTCGGATGGGAATGGAAAGCCAGTGGGGTACGTGATTTGTGCAGCGCAAACTTAAAAATCGGACATGGAAGCTACGTGACTCGCATGGCTCGCAGTCCAAGGACCTTTCCGAGAGAGCAGGATAGGAAGCAGTCGGTAGCCAGCAGCCAGCAGCCAGCAGGAATCAGGATGCTGCCATCGACTGACACAGCTTATGAACTAATAATATTTCCCCCTGCCCTCGTAAATTATGCACCTGGACAACTGCTGTGCTCGAGTGGCGTAATCTGGAAATTGAAATCACATTTTTGCAGCCTCATTAATTTTGCAAAGAATGATCTAAGGACAGAGCCCCGGCCATCGCCGTGAGAGTCAATAGTCAATTTGTGTTCAAAGTTTTTTCCACATAGTTTTGCATAAATGATAGCTTCATTAGCTGGCCATCAAAGTAATGGCCAAAATGATTACCAGAATGGGGTCCAGCCACTGTTGGAGGGCACTGTTCTCTCCCATTGGCGAGGCAAATTGAAAAAATGAGCAAATGGCAGAATGAAGCCATAAACTCCGCTTAAATGCAATAGTCCGGGATACCCAGAAGCCCCCACTTTTGTCCGCCACTTGAGTGCTAAAAGGCGCAATGATAAAATATTTGCCTGGCCCGGGCCAAGGCAAGTAAATTGTTGGCTCAAAAGTTGAAACAGCCAACAAAAACTCCGGGGAGAGAGCGCGAAAGCAGAGATGAAGAAAGGCCGTGCTGTCAGTTGCTGTTTTTGTTTAGTTGTTGCGGCTAAAGTTTGCTCCGTCCTTGTCCGGATCCTCATGGCCATCACGGCCAGCATGGCCCCATGACCATTCGCATCGCCATCCACATCGCCGCCACGGCCAAAAGGAAAGCCGGCAAAATAAAAATGCAAAAAAATGCCCAGTAAGACGTATTTATCAACATAATTACATTTTTTAATGGCTTTTTAAACCGCAAAATGGCAAAGCCGTAATCCGAGATAAAACTGGAGCACAAAAATGTACGAAATAGAGACAACTTCTTTAACATTCCCGGCTTGTTCCGGAGAACCTAGAAAATGTTATCTCAATTAGTGGATCGTACGCTGAAAGTGTTTCGTATACAAGAAGATACAGTGAGGCTTTCGAGGATCTTGTCATAGATACACATATCTTTGGGGCTGTGCGGGTGGGAAAGGATTAGTCATTGGCGGATATATGCATTCGCATACGCACGATGAGTCTATTGGCGATTCCACTGATTCAGCCAGAGCCGATCTCGCATTCCCTGGAAAACTGACGGACTCATGCCAAGTTGGATATTTAGTGCATGCTGATACGATTACATAGTTTCTGCGCGACACAAGCCTATATAAGGGCTGCTACATGAAGGAAGCAAGTCAGTGCAACTGGTCGAACTTTGTGGCAGCATGGAGCGAGTTGTGTGTCTTCTTTTCTGCATCGCTGTGGCAGCCGCCATGGACTTGCCCAATCCTGATGAAGCAACACCAACAGTCGACTGGACGGATGAACCAACATTTACACTCGGCTTGCAAGATGAAACAGAACTCGACTTGGAGGATGAACCAACACCAACACTCAACTTGGAGGACTTTTACGGCTACAACAGCATGATGGAGTATCTGAGAAACCTGAGCCAGACCTACTGTTGCACAGTGACCCGCCAGTCGCTGACCACCACCTACGAGAACCGATCCGTTGAGCTCGTGAAGATCTCGGACGGGCAGGGGACGTCGGAAAAGAAGGTCATCCTGCTGGATGCGGGTACCCACGGCAACGAATGGATAACCACCACAGTGGCCCTGAAGATTGTACACGAGCTGGTGGTGAATCAGGATGCGCATGCCAGACTCCTAGAGTCCTGTGACTGGTACGTACTGCCCATGGTCAATCCGGATGGCTACACGTACTCGCTGGAGCAGAAACTCAAGCTCTGGCAGAAGAACCGCTCCCCGCACGGGGGCCAGTACGGAACCAATCTGAATCGCAACTATGACACGCACTGGAACTTGACGGAAGATGCCCCAACACACAGCCAATACTATCCAGGGAGCTCCGCATTCTCCGAGTTGGAAACCTTGGCAGTCGGTGGTCTCATGCGAGATCTGGTGGAGACGAAACGCGAGTTCCTCTACATAACTCTGCACACAGAGAACAAGTCGATCTTCTATCCTTCGGTGTTCGATACGTAAGTTCTACATATATTAAACCTCGAAATCGGCTCAGTTTTTATCTCTCTCGCTCTCTCTCACTTCAGGAAGACAGGCAAGACGGATGGGCTCCTCCATGCTATAGCTCAATTGGCCAGTGGCGCAATATTCGAAAAGACGAGGTCGGTGTACGTCCCCAGCCTGGCCTATGGATACGACGGTGTTGGCGGCACCAGCCTGGACTACGCCTACGAAGTCGGCATCCCATTGCTATTTGCCTTTGAGATGCCCGAGATGAGGGCGGAGGCTGAAAGCAAAACCACCTTCATCACCCATCAGGCCATGGAGGGTTGGGAGGGAGTCAGGCATCTGGCGTTGGGGGCGCTCGAAATGTATAGCCCCAGTAAAAGCAGTTCCAACACCACCAGTCCACCATCTGATGGCTCGAAACACGCCAATTCGACCTGTGCCCCAGCCACGAATGATGCCCCATCTGTAGATGGGAGCTTTGGTCTTCCCGCAGCCACTTTCAGTGCGCTTCTGGCATATCTGGCCTTGGCAGTGATGTAGTAGAGATAATCACTGATCAGCTCCAAAAACATTTTTTTTTTTTTAATATTTAGAATTACGAATAAAGAACAAATAAGAAACTATCAAACGCACAGTTAATTAATCACCCCATACAAGTAGAGGGCAATGAAATTTATAATTGTATGTGTTTTTGAATTTGCTCTCAGAGAGATTGGAAAAACTCCAATGAATTTGATTTCACTTTCGATGCTCGAGCGAGTGACGCGCCTGCCAAACGCCACATTGCATCGTCGGATAAACTCAACCTGTTCGAATTGGATTTATACTTTGCAAATTACATCAGAATAAGCTATAGCTATGGACATAAAATATATAAACATATAAGTATCAATCGGCATTCACTTTCCCCGCGAGAAAATTCATGGGAACTCATCTACAGTCTTATCAATTGTCAGAGCCCAATCTCAAATAAGAAGCCGTTGTGAATTCTGGTGAATTCAATTGATTAAAAGTGAGCTCTAGTGTCCAGGGGATATTGGACTTGACTCTCGTTTGCTCTACAGCTGATGAAAGACAAGGACTATAATATTGATCAATCAGATAAGTCATATTAATTATGAATGGTAGTATTTTAATATTTCCATTCGAGTGTCGAGGGTAACTGCAGCTTCGACCCCAAGCAGATGTCTCTCCTGATGCCCGGCCATCGGCGAACGATGCTATATATAGCGCCGATGATCGAGGACAGAGCTAGTTCCGCTGCTTCTCGCTCTCTGGAAACATGCGGAGAGCTCTGTGTGCGATAATGTTGTTCGTGGCCAGCGTCGACCCCTCGGCGACGCTGGGGAACGTAGGATCGCCAGAACTGGATCTGAGCGATTACTACAGCTACGAGGGGGTGATGGATTACTTGGATACCCTCGCGAAGGACTACCCCAATCGGGTTTTTTTGAAGGATGCAGGCCGGACCTACGAGAACCGCATGTTGAAGACGATAACCATATCGAACGGCGATGGGGTGCCGGGAAAGAGAACAATCTTTATGGATGCAGAATTGCACGCCCGAGAATGGATGACCCCCATGGCCGCGCTCTATGCCATCCACCAGCTCGTGGTCAATTTCGCGGAGAACGCCGATCTACTGAAGAACTTTAACTGGATCGTACTGCCGCTGGCCAATCCGGATGGCTACGAGTTCTCTCGCAACTCAGACAGGTGGTGGCGCAACAACCGCTCCCCGAACGGCAGGCAGTGCTTCGGGACCAATCTGAACCGCAACTTCGATGTGGCCTGGGGGCAGGGATATTCCGAGCTGGCAGATCCCTGCACCGAATCATACGCCGGCAGCGAGCCGTTCTCCGAGGCGGAGGCCCGCCTAGTGCGGGACATAATGCATGAGTTGGTAGACAACGGGAGTGGCACAATGTACCTGTCCCTGCACACAGCAAACCGATCGATGTTCTATCCGTGGGTATTCGAGTCCTCCCCCACAAGGAACCATCACGAGCTCAAGGAGATTGCTCGGTTCGCCACGGACAGGATACTGAGGGAAACGGGTACACAAATCAAGCCAAAGCAGGCCTATTACTACGGCGGAATGGTGGGCGGTACGAGCCTAGACTACGCCTTTAAGGTCGGCTTTCCATTGTCCTTTGTGTTCGAGATGTCGGGCCTGGCGTTTGGTGTGGAGTACAAGTTCTTTCCACCGCCCACGGCCATCCGAAGGCTGACGACAGAGACCTGGGTGGGGATACGCGCGCTGGCCGAGAAGGCCATTGAGAAGTATCCACCCGGGAGAGCCATACCTGCGATTCAAAGAAAACCTGTCAGCAATAGGGCGCCAGGGAGTCAGGACTTAAACATCCTTGTTGGTTTACTGAGCACACTTTTGGCATACGTAGCCAGCCATTTCACTATTTAATAATTGAATATGTTTTCTATAATTAAAACGAATGACTGGTGTTGTTTTTTTTAAAGAGAATATTACCACCGTGTGCTGTAAGCTGCCTCCACAGATTTTTGTATAAATTTAGTTACGTTCGAGCTCTGAAACTGGTTTGAAATGATCCATCGAATGCATAACGATTGCATTGCATGTTGTTAAAACACTTAATTTGCAAATAAAGCCGTTTAACTATTATGCATACACTGCACAAATACACAAGTTTTATACAAATGTTTGTTTTTTTTAGGGCAAGGGAATTCACAAAACTTTAAGTTTAAAATTCCCCCCGAAAATCTGTAAATTTTCGGCATTGGATTCTCTGGGGTTCTTTGAAATAATTTCAATATCCATCCATGGGCTGTCTCATCCTCTTCCCCGTCTTCCCCGTCTTCCCCGTCTCTCACTTCCCTTATTCACTTCATCAGTCGATTCTCGCAATACGCACACGCATACGCCGCGTTGTCGGCTCGTCTATCAACGTGACTTGGCTGCTTCGTCTGGTGGATATGTACATATGTACTTATTGCATGTACGTATGTACATACACGGTGGACTTGCATATCACTGGCATTGTCGGATGCATTTCACATGCTGCAATTAACGCAACAAATTGCATTTTTAATATGCAAAATTAATGCAGAAAATCTTTCTGTCCGATGCAGCGAAGCAACAGAAACAGAAACAGAAATCGAGACAAAGACCTAGACTGAAACGAATGCGAAACGCGATATCCAAGGATTTTATTTATAAAAGTCATTGTGAAAATTGAAAATTCACATTCTGTCTACAATTGACCGCCGCCTGTCGCAGCCCACATTTATACTCTCTCCCATCCCGTAGATACAGATACTGGTCGGTACGAGGTACGAGTATTTTAAAAATAATAAAAAGCCATTACAAAGTCAAAGTTGCCTGGCCCAGGAAACTGCTGTTAATTAGTTTTTTCGAAGGCTGCTCCGGCAGCTGACCGTCCATCTATCCAATTGTATACCCATCCATCCATTTGTTACCTCCACCGCCCTCCATTCTGGAGGTCAGGTCAGGGCAAATGTTTTAATTTCCGCACGAGTGTCTCTAACGGAAATTACTTCAAAAAAAGTTCACGACTCCTGGCCAAATGCCCCACAAAACCCACGCTGCCAATGAGCCCCGGGGGAACGGACTCCTCGTTATCGCGCGACGGGCCAGGCAATCGCCACTGAATCGAGAATAATTAACATAAGTAATCGTGCCATTTACTTACACTTGCTCAAGATACTGGTAGTCCGGTTAGATTAGCACAAGTGCCGCTCAATTATCGGTTTGGGTCCGAATGGCATGCACTTTGTTTTACATTCGAATCGGACTCCGATTAGATAGATACTCGCACTGGCAATCGTAATCGTAGTCGTAGTCGTAGTCGAAGTGCGCCTTGCAGGCCTATCCGATCCGCGGATCGTCTGTTCGAGTCAGAGTGCAAAATGCTGCTGTTGGTGCTGGTCCTACTGCTGGTGGCCGTTGGCTGGCTCGTCCATCGCGGCCAGGCGGAGCGTCGCCGGGCCGTGTCCAATCTGCCGGGACCCATGTGCCCCCCATTGCTGGGAGCCCTGCACATCATGTCCAGCATGAACCCAAAGAGTATGTAATTAAATCGATCGTAATAATGTCCTGTCTGTAAAAACGATAATCGATAAAGTGCTCTCAAAACCGAATCAAAACTGAATTTTGTAGGGGGTAGATCGCTGATTAAGGTCCACCCCATTCCATCCACATTCTCCCTTTTTCCGCTGATGCACGCGAACGCGAAAAGCAATTACAAAACCACAAAAAGTTTTCAATTGTTTACGAGCACACTTTGAAATGTACTATTTATTGCATATCACTTGACAGAGAGAGAGGGAGAGAGACAGATCAATCTACGCTTTGCTGCATAGTGAGCATATTCATTCATTTGTTTTGTTCTCTTGCTCTCTCTTAACCGATAAGAGCTAGGTGTAATCCAGATGGGATTCTCTTTTTTTATAATTCTCGTTTTTTTCGGAATTCATGCTCTCTTGGTTTTTTGGAAGCTTCATAGAACAATACGATAATGCTGCTAATCTTCCCATAACCTACTGAATCGCCGATTCTAATTGAATGAACGAATGGTCTACACATACACACAATACTTTAGGCAATATTCTGAAAATGAAATGAATTACTTATTGATGCTGTCAGACAGAAAATAAACCACAGATTTCAGGGCAATCTTGGAGATCTGCAAATAGGGCGGATTCCTTTGAGCGGATATGGAACTTGGGACTGCCAACTGGTTTGTAGGAATTCGCAACACTACCCTTAGCCTCTGTTGTAATTATTGGTATACCAGTATCAATGCACTTGGAACCATAAAGATGAAACAAATATATACCAACTGCCTTTATCATGCAAACATTTAATCTTACTTTAAAAATACTTTTTTGTGCCAAACATTCAGTGCAGATTAAGAGGTGTTTATGTTTTCAGTAAATAGCACTTAAGCAGCCACTTGAGCCCAGTACCTTATCATATTTGCATTCAGATGTGGTTCAGGGGAACTATGGAACACATATGCATATCTATTAATATTGTTAATAATTATTTATGAGCTTCAAAAATCTTTGGACTAAAGAGTTAATGATAACGCTGCCTTGAGCGATTAAAAGTTATCATCAATGTTTTTTTCCTGATCTTCTCCAACCGCAGCCTTCATCAAAGTAAGCGGTGAGAATATGCGCAAATATGGACCGCTGCAGCGGGTGTGGATTCTGAACCGCCTGCTGATAATGAGCGCCGACTCCGAGATCAACGAGCAGCTGTTAAGCAGCCAGGAGCATCTGGTGAAGCATCCCGTGTACCGGGTCCTGGGAAAGTGGCTGGGCAATGGGCTGCTCCTGAGCGACGGCAAGGTGTGGCATCAGCGCCGCAAGATCATCACACCCACCTTCCACTTCTCGATACTGGAACAGTTCGTGGAGGTCTTTGACCAGCAGTCCAACGTCTGTGTGGAGCGCCTGGCCCCTCGGGCCAATGGCCAGACCTTCGACGTCTACCGGCCCATCTGCATGGCAGCCCTGGACATCATTGCGGAGACTGCCATGGGCACTAAAATCCACGCCCAGGCTGCGGAGAGCACTCCGTACGCGGAGGCAGTCAACGAGTGAGTCCAGTCATCCATCCATCCATCCTCAAAGAGAGCAGAGAACCCCGTTCCAACTCATTAGTCTCTGATTGCAGGTGCACTGCTCTACTGAGCTGGCGCTTCATATCCGTCTACCTGCAGGTGGAGCTGCTCTTCACGCTGACCCACCCGTACATGAAGTGGCGTCAGACGCAGCTCATCCGCACCATGCACGACTTTACCACCAAGGTGATAGAAGAGCGCCGGCGGACACTCGAGGAGCAGCAGGGGTCCAAGTTGAGCCCGTCTCCCGACGACGATGTGGGCAGAAAGCGACGGATGGCCCTGCTCGATGTACTGCTGCTGGCCACTGTCGATGGGCGTCCGCTGACCAATGACGAGATCCGCGAGGAGGTGGACACCTTCATGTTCGAGGGTCACGACACCACCACCAGCGCACTGTCCTTCTGCCTGCACGTGCTGGCGCGTCATCCGCAGGTGCAGGAGAAGATGCTGGAGGAGATACTCCGGGTCATAGGCACCGATCGCAAGCGGCCCGTCACCATCCGCGATCTAAACGAGATGAAGTACCTGGAGTGTGTTATTAAGGAGTCGCTCAGGTTGTATCCGCCCGTGCCCCTGGTCGGACGAAAGCTGCAAACGGACTTCAAGTACAGTAGGTGTCAAGTAGTCTAAATAGAGTGCTTTCTCCAGGCTCCACTGCTCCCCATCTTCTTGCAGGCCACTCCAAGTACGGCGATGGCGTTATTCCGGCCGGATCTGAGTTCCTCATCGGAATCTATGGCATGCAGCGGAACAAAAACGAGTTCCCCCAGTCCGAAGAGTTCATCCCCGAACGACACGAGAACGGGGAGCGATATTCGCCCTTCACCTTTATCCCCTTCAGCGCCGGGCCACGGAACTGCATCGGCCAGAAGTTTGCACAGCTGGAGATGAAGATGATGCTGGCCAAGATCGTGCGCGAGTACGAGCTGCTGCCGCTGGGCGAGCCCGTCGAGTGCGTCATCAACATTGTCTTGCGCTCGGACACGGGCTTCCAGTTGGGAATGCGCAGGCGCAACGATACACAATGAAAAGGTATAACAGGTGTTGATCTGATGCATTCGTGCATTTAGAGTTTACATTATTACATTCCAAAATATATTCATAAATATTAAACAGTATTATTAAACGGGTCCATCCTTGTGATCCTATCGTGGCTTCAGAGCCAATTGAAAGCCATTAGATGAGCCCAGAGAGAGTCGTAAGTCGAGGCGAGGGGCATCACCATAGGGCAGCAGCTCGAAGTTTAAGAGGATTGGGGCGATTAGGGTCTTGAGCAGCACCATGCTGAACTGCTTGGCCGGACAGCAGCGTGGACCCATGCTGAAGCTGTAGATCTCTGGCGGGGACTCCAGAAATCTCTCCGCCCGAAAGTGGCTCGCATTCAGATAGCGGTCCTCGTTGCGCTGCATTTCAAAGAGATTCACATATATCTCGGCGCCAAAGGGTAGAGTGCCGTCCCCCACCTCGCTATGAGCTGTTGGGGATCATACGAAAATCGGATCAAAGATATATCGTATCTCATTGATACGAGCACTCACTGTAGGGCATATCCTCGGTCAAGTGGCGGCCGACAATGACTTGGGGTGGGTAGAGGCGCAGCGTCTCCAGCAGCACGGCCTCCAGGTAGGGCAGCCGTCGCACGTCCCAGCTCTGGTCTTCTCTCTGAGCCTTCCGTAGCTCCTCCAGGCAGCGCTGCTGAACAGCCGGATGACGGGAAATCGTGACTAGGGAGAAGCAGAGGGCCGAGCTGCAGAGCAAGTATCCTAGATAGTTGCAGGTATTCAGCTCTGCACAGATGTCGTCGTCCGAGATTTCGGGATTATGGTTGCTGGCCAGCAGAATCTCCAGCAGTGATTGATGCCACTGCGCAGGCAGTGGGTCAATGCGATCCACCACCACGTTTCCAGCCTTGAGTTGCTCCTCCTGCTTCTGCAGTCTTCGGCATCGATCGATGTGCTCTTTGTGCTCGTCATTCAGTTGCTTGATGAGTTGCGCCTGTCGCCGCCGTAATAGGGGAGAGCTGACCCAGAAGGTGAAGCGGTTCACCGACTGCAAGCTCAGGAATCGCTTTCGGTAGATCTCCGTGAGGCTAAGGGAAAGAAGCGATGCTCTCAGAGGAATCTATGGGGCGCGTCACTCACCAAGTGAAGGCCTCGGAATACCCCTCGCTGGGGCGCACGCCGCAAGTGGTCAGTACCATCAGATCCCGCACAGCGGGTGCCACAATCGTCCAAGCATCGAACACATCGCGTTGTTCTGCATGGTCCGCCAGTGTCAGCTGCAGTAGCACCGCCTGCTGGCGACACAGCTCCGTCAGCGGCAGCATGTTTCCCTTGTTAAAGATGCTGCCTATGAGCCCGTGACGCTGGGTCCACTGGTTCTTGTCGCACATGAGAACGCCGCCGCCCAGCCAGTGCCGCATCAGCTCATAGCCCGTCTCCAGATGTTGCTCGCTCTGCAGGACTTGTTTGGCCAGCTCGAGGTCCGCCAGCGGCATGAAGAGTCTGTGGAAGACCCAGAGGCGGGTCACAGCTCCGTACTTAGCCAGATACTCGTGGCTACGCTGGAAGAAATCTAACAGGCCAAATCAGAACAGAAACGTTCCCGCAGGAGCCTCCAGCGCCACTTACTTTGCGGCTTGAGGAACAGCAGCTTGTGCATCGCCCCCATCAGGGGCCAGGAGAAGGGTCCTCCGAGATTCTTGATCAGCGACCGCTGCCGGCGCGTCCTGAAATAGTTGATGGCCGAGGCCACGCAGAAGCACAGGAATGTGGTGGTCAAGATCATGGTTGCAACTGAGCCACGGAGCCGCTCCTCTCTATGCTAATCGAACCCTTTATGGCCGTTGCGATTGGTGTCACTAATCTCTCAAGTGCCTACCAAAATTGGCAGTTCTTATCGGTGGAAAACACTGGCAAACGGTGTACTTATTTAATGTGTGAAATCGTTCCAGCCAGGGATGGAATTTTGATGAAATCCTTGACAGTTCATAAAGTTTTTACTTTTCTCGATAGGACAAATATGTCGAAGAATATGTTGAGTTGAGAAAAGCCTGTGAATTTATTTTAGAAGCAGCTGGGGGTTTAAACTATAAGTATCCTTATCCTTATCTTTTATAAATTGTAATATTTCAATGACAATTTTCAAATGCGTTCCAGTTTGTGTTCCACAAAATGTTGTGTAAATTATTTGCTACATGCGTTCCACAGAATGTTGCCAGTGTTTTGTCAGCATGTTGCCATAGCCAGCAGCATGTTGCTATGATGGCAGGAATAAATGGTCGAATTTTATGTTTTCTGGAAGCTGTGTAAATCGACTCAAATTAACGTTCTAAAACTGTTACTGGCACAATTCTAGGGGAAATTACTCAGAAGATTGGTTTCTACGATCGAGGATAATTTTGGAACCCCGAAAATCTTCTTCAGAGCTAATCAAAAGAGTGTCTCTGTAACCTCTGTAAAAATATGTATGTACATCGAATGCGCGTTAACAAGCCAACTTGATTGGCCAAGACGAAAATTGCCAATACCCAGCGGAGGCGCAGGAGTAGGAGGAGGCAGATGGGGGCGTGATGTGTGCGCCATCTGTAAGATACGAGACACAAGATACACCATCGAGATTGTGGCACGGAATTTGCTAATAAATATTTAAATACTTACCTAACATTTATTGCTGCTGCTGCTGCTGATGGGGGACTCGCAACAGATTCAGAACTATTAAACCAACCAATTTGTGGCAATTGTCTGGGGGGAGGGGAGGGGGAACGTCTCCCCAGACCGCTGCCACTTGGCCAGCGGGCATTATCCGGGCCCAAAAGCAGCTGTTGTCCTGGCAAACAAATCTTTTGTGGACTGTGGTTGTCGGGGTCACGGCGAGGGTTGGTCAGCTCTCAACCCTTTCCAGAGTTGAACTGTCAAAAGTACATTTGCCTCGGTTACGCCACAGAGGAAATATCCTTGAAGCATGTAATGACAATATCAGGCGGCCTTCCCATTCTGCCCTGCGGCCCTTTGGGGATCTGGGCTCAGAGTTTCTCAGCAGTTGAGGAGTTAAGCAGTTGAGGAGTTGAGGGGCCTTGAGTGCTGTGTGTTGTGCTCCATTTTCATTTTGCGGCGTTGATGAAACTTTAATGACACACCACACGCATCCAACACTGGAGGCCATGTGTCCAGCTTCAGCTACAGCTACAGCTACAGCTACAGCTCTGCTTTTGTATCTCTAGTACTTTTCTGCCCAATTTCATTTTGGGGCAAACAAAGCCGGCTAATGGTGGCTAATGAAGCCAGTTTTATTGGGGATTTTTTGGGTCGGTGAACCCCAGAATAGAGCACTCCCAGGTTGGCCATATCCCCATCCCCGGCACTTTGGAGTGTGTGCTTGCATGTATTTATGAGGAATTCATACGTCAATGTCATGAACAACTCGAATGGAGCCCCAAACGGAGTGCAATGGCCAACAGCCACGTGACCAACAGAAAGCACCAAGCAGCAAGCAGCAAACAGCAAACACCAAACACATCCTGGCCCTGTTCTCCCGTATGCAAATGAACAAAAAATTAGATGACTGCGCTATGACAACGACCAGGACAACGATGACGACCAGGACGACGACGACGACAGCGGTGACAATGAAAACTGAGCGAACTACTCGTACGAGTAAAAAGCCAAAGTCCGAATGTTGTTGCGGTTTACGCAAAAAATGGCATTGCAAAAACAAGGGAAAAAGGTGCACCGAAAACGGCAGCAGGATACAAATCCTTTCACAGGCCTCCAGAACATGCGCCTAGTTCCTGGCTGGAAGGCAGGATAGAAAGCTGGCGAAAAAATTAAAACAAAGACATAGCAACAATTTACATTCCCATTGTTCGCCTCTGTCCTCCAAGGGCACAAAAACCGCCAGATGGGTAGATACACAGATACATGCACCGTCACAGTGAGTTTCAGAGCGTTAAGACGGTTTACACATTCGAAAAATACTCTAAAAGGCCATATAATGATGGATTTAAAGCAGTTTATAGAAAAGAGATTGGCTTTACTAAGAACATAAATGCAGATACAGCTGGCTGATATTTTCGAAACGCACTGCACATTCGCCTATAAATTGCAAATGCAGTTGGTCAGCCGGCAAGTTAGAGAAAGAAACGAGAACACACACGACACCGCAGCAAGGACAACGATGATGATGATGATGATGATGGCGATGGCGATGGCGATGGCGAGGAGGAGGGCTGTCAGCGAGAGGCACGCCACTAGTCACCGCTAAAAAATTGAGGCGGAAAAGACATAAAACCGCCTGAGAGTGGTCGATCAATACGACACATACTATGCCCTATCGGGAACAAAGAATATATAACTCAGATATGGTAACATGTGATGGAGGAAAAGGGGTTTAATGAAAGTACTTCCTAATTTTAGCCACTCCAAAACTGGCATGAGTTGTATCACGGCCATTTACTCGTTTGTTGTATGCAGGGTATTTGGTAGACCATGTGGGTCCGGAATATTTCTCGCCATTGTCGATGTTGGCATTGTTGTACGGGTGGCGGTAGCTTCTCGCTGTTTGCTGGCACCAGGAAGCATTTTGCATGAATTGCCCATAAAAGTGATATGCACATCAAGATTGTCTGATATGAGTGGGGCGATAAGCGCAAAAATTTGCTTACTGGGCTCCCACCGACTTTCGAGCAACTGCAAATTGTTGAAAATTGTCGGAATTCGCTAGAAACTTTAAGGTCTCTCGCTGGGACACAGTCTTAATCAAGACAAACTACATTTGGCTAGACATTTAATTCGCGAGTGCCGCAAAAAGGATGCCATCAGTCTCAGGCACGCCCACCTCCCATTAGCCATCAGCCATTAGCCATCAGCCATCGCCCATTATGACATTGGGTTCGGTTCGGCGCGGTTCGGTTCGGCCCGGTTCGGGTGTGCTGTTAGCCCACACACTCGCATATTAATAGCCCACTATCCTACATACTCGTAGCTTAAGCTCCCATGCTACCAAGATCCCCAGTTCCCAGATGTCATATGTCAGGCAGCTGTAATAATGCTAGCTGATGACTGCGTTATGATTACTGTCAACGGCAGGCACACGGCACTCCATGAATAAGCAGATGAGTCAGAGAGGGAGTCAGAGCCTCTTACTTTTATGCACATACATAGTATATCCTTGCGGGCTTATCGCGCCACCCACCCTGCCCCGTTCCACATGTGACTTGAGGCGCCCCGCAGCGCCGCTGTGGCAACAACTTTGACTCTGCAACAATTTATCACAGCCAATTTAACCACTTAAGTGTGGAAAAGGTTTCCGGCAGAGTCAAAGTGTGCACTACAGCCATACACATATGTACAAATGTACACTTATACATACTCATACGCGTGTGAATAAATACTCGTATATGTATACATACTCACAATCCATATCCATGTTGAGTAAAATGAATGTAAAATAAAATATTGAATGAAATAACTTTGGCAACAAGGCTGGCCTGCCCATGTCCCCAGCGGCATTTCAGGCACGAAACTGACCACGCTACACTCGGAGAAATATATGAAGGAATGATTCAAATAAAACGTTTAATCTGGGGTCTGACTTTCTGACCATCTGCTGACAATTTGGAGAGTATATTTCTGATTTACCAACATTCTTTTTTCTCAGTGTACCACCGCTGACCCCTCAATGTCTGCATATGGATGCGTGTGTGGCATCTGTGTGTGGCAGTGAGTGTGCAAGTGTGTCTGCTGGCAGCATTTATTTGTTTACAATCTGTTTGCGCAAAAGCTGCCGCAAGGCTTAAAAATCTGCATTTGCATTCTGACACTATTCGTGGGTACATATACGGATAAATGTACACACATACATATGTGTCTTCATATACATATGTATGGGTCCCGAAGTATTGGCTAATTGAAGAAGACAGTTACCTTGTAGGTACCTTCCATACATGCCATCGATTCTGAGCGATATTGATAATCATCTATCAGATTAACAGAATATATATTTTATGGATATATTTCTATATCTTTATATATTTAGGTTCGTTCGTAGAAGAGTGGATAGCATTGGCAGCCTCAAGCCTCTGCTCCTTTTCGTGTGGGCCAATGGGATTGGTGTTACGGAAGGAAGCGGGTTAGTGCCTTCTTCTTGGTCAGCAGCTCCTTAAACGTCTTCGTGTGATTGCGGTTCTGCGCTCTTCGCCCAGGAAGTAGTCAGACGGAGGCGCATCCACTGAAAGAATCCTGCCTTAGAATCCTGTTCACTGCTGAGAAAGCTGCTGTTGCCTAGCAGAATCGGTCTTATGGAGCTTGCAGATCGAAAGTCAGAGTGCAGCGACCAGAAGAGAACTGCTGGTGGATTTTTATGCACACCCACGGTACTGGGATCTTCGCCCGCCTTCTCGCCGTGGTACATGGATCCACATGTACTTTAAATACGCAGTACCGGATCTCCTTCGATTGGGAGTTTGTTTGTTTTTCATTTTATTTCTATGTTTCTTGCTTAAATATAATATTTATAGACACAAGCTTTCGTGATCTCCTTAAGAGCTGAAATCCGCCCGACCGTCATTTATTCAACTAAAGCGAGGGACTCATACCACATGAAAATCCGCTCCTCTGTAACCTGTTAATTGTTCCATTTAACAGCTTGGATGAGTACGATTCAGACCCATTCGCTGCTCACTCTTCGCCATATGCGGAACAGGGTCTGAAAGGGCTTAACCGTAATGCGGGGGGACCACTTATGTGAGAGGGCATCAAATCGGCTTTCGTCACACTCTCCCTCTCTACCCATCTCACTCTCACTCTCTCGTGCTTTTCTCTCTTTCAGACGAACACACAGCCATGCGAGTATGTGAATAAAAGTGCAAATTCATGTTTAGTTTGACAAAATCTGTTTAAATCCAAAGAGCAAATGCCAGCA